AGTTATATATGCATATTACAAGTCCAGTATTTGTGTATCATTTTCATAAAGCAGTTCTAAATTAGCTGATAAGTTACTTTCATTAAAATGTTTTAGTCATAAGCTAATAGAATTTTATATTCACAATTTGATTATGTTTTCCTTTTTCCACTTTAGAGACAGATTAAAAATATAAAAGGGCTTTTCTAAGACTCTTCTCTCAGCAAATAGCAACTTCCTCAGTAGTAATTACAATATGTTTATTATTATATTTATTACTAGTAATTTATAATTTGGGAAGTATCTTTATATTTATCATCTTATTGATCCACATCCCAGTCACCGCTATGGCTCTTCTAGGAAATATTAGAACTCCCAAACACGGTACATTTTCTGTTTGAGGATATTAAAATAATTACAGTATCTTTTAATTATTGAATTAAAATTTAAATAGTAAGGTTCATATTATTTGCCTGTCATTGCTTTCTCTCTCTGGAAAACTAAGCAGAAAAACCTATCCTGTTCTTTCCCTTCATATTTCCTGTATTTTATTGGCGAGAATTTTCCATATTTATTGAGGTTTTCCTATTTAAAAAAAAAAAAAAAAAAAACTTTCCTTTTTGTGAAATTTCCTGTTGACATCTTCTAGCCACAAATAAGTTCAGGCATGTATGTAACTGGAGTTGGCAATTTCTCAACCTGTGCTAATTTAAGTACCTTTATAAGTTGTGCTGGAAAGCTAAAATCCTTGCCAGTTTAAACAACATCCATTAATAAACTGATTTCTTTCCATACCCCACACTCAAACCTGAAATGTGGTGTTACAGTTCATCTCAGTAGATGTGCAGTGGATATTGATGCATTTTCTTCTCTTCACAACTGTCACTTCTCACACGTAAATTGTGGAAAGTTCTTTGTTCTTCCTGGGGGAAAAGAGGAGATTGAGATCTCTATTTCACATTTTAAACTAACATCAAAATTATCTTTTTTTTTTTCTCCAGTTTCATTGTTACCTAGCACAGAGCCTTACAGTGAACAGCTTAGTTGTGGTTATCTAAATAAGAGGAAAATTTATTATTCTTATCAAATAATTTTAATACGACAACTTTAAAAACTTGGGCATCTTACTGAAGTCTTACTTCTCACTGCTTGAAAGCCAATATGTAGGAGAGGAGAATTGGTAAGAAGGAAATCAGGTTTATTTAAGGACTGGCACCCTGAGAAACGGGGAGAATGGAGCCCAATGAAAAAGGCCATCTTGGGGGACTCGTATTTGGAGGTAAAGTGGAGATGTAAGGGTACAAGAGGCAGAAAAGTCGCATGCTAATTAGGGTCTTCGTCATCCAGGGCCTGTCTTTTTTTCTCTGGCTGGAACATTGCAATTGACCTTGAGCTTTGGGGGCTAGTTCCTGTAAGTTCTTGCTTTTCTGAAAATTTAGCATTCTCTTACAGATTCTAGTATACTATAATCTAAAGGTCACCAGATATTCTGGGTGGATATTTCCCAGATTTATTTAGCAATTATTTTCCTTTAAGTGAGATTTCCTGTTGACATCTTGTAGCTACAATTAAGTCGAAGTATCCATGCGACTCAGCATCTCTACTTTAACACGGAAGTGTCTTTCTGTAAATCTAAAGAAAGACTACTTAGTGTTATGAGTTTGTCTTTTAGGTACAGTTTTTCTTTACAAACCAGAATGCAGGGCAAAAACAAGAAGAAGTAACTAACTGTAATGAACAACTTGCAAAGGAGTAGCCATCGTTACAGACGTAGTTTTAAATCTAGCAACTGGACTAGAAATAATGATTATGTGTGCATAACTTAGCTTATCATTAATAAAATGCAATAAAGTGAAGTTTTAAATTTTATCTTTTCTCTCTAAAGGTTTGATAATTTTAGCCCATGAAACAAACTGGCAATAGACAGATTGAGCGGGTGGGGACAGCAGGCTACAGGAGGGGAGGGAGAGGGAGAGACAAATTTGTTAATGTGCAGAAATACAGGAGCCATATACAAGTTATGGGACTCAGAGAAAGTCTCAGGTGGTTGAAACTTCAGTCTTATTTTGAGTTACAGAAAGCAAGGGGGGTTTGAATCCGGGGGAGGTAATACGCATGTTTGAGAAGGATGATAGAAGGAAAATGCACCCAAAAAATTGCCATTGTTATATAGACAAAGCCTCAGTTAATAGTCATCAGAAAATTGCCTGTCTGAGGCAGGTTTTAGATTTGCAGTCACATCTTTCAGTGAGAAGATCTTCTTTAGGCAAATTGAAGGGATATCAGATTAAAAAAAAAAAAGCCTCTGCCTGTGTCTGCTGTTACTAATTGTACATTGATACAACTTTTTATGAAAGGACCACCTTTCAAGATCCATTCTTACCTTTGCAGTCCTTCTGAAGGGCATCTGGAAATGCACTACAGCAATCTATTTTGAAATGACTATTTTATTACCCTCAAAAATAATGTCTAAGGCACAGTGATGTTCACCTGTAATCCCAGCTGCTTGGCAGACAGAGGCAGGAGGAGTGTCACAAATTTGAAACCAGTCTTGGCAAATTAGTGAATTGCTGTCTCAGAATGAAAATAAGGAGTTGGGATGTAGCTGAGTAGTAGAGCTCTTGCCTACTAGGTTTATTTCCAAATACCGCAAAAAATAAGTAAACAAACAAACAATGTGGGACATGTCTGAGCTATGTGCTGAAGGATGCTAAGCAGAGGAGAGGGTATGCACACTTACAGAGGGATAAAACATTACAGAACTTAGTGTGCATAGTGAAATGAAATGACAATATAAAATCATAGTCTTAAATTCAGTCATTAAATAAATCTTTTGCATTTATTTTATTGCCAGTAAAAAAGCAAGGTGGATGATTTTTGTATTTATGAATAAATTTCCCCAGATAAATTATTCTCAACTTTTTAAATTTTCAACTTAGGGCACATGCTCTCGATCATATAAAAAGAATGAGAACTGCTGGCCTGAACAAATTAACAGGCTGCACATTTACATTAGCAAATATGAAAGCCTATCAAAGGAAAGGAAGTAGTGTCAGAGCAGTCACCTTGGTCATTGTTGCTGCTGTGTTCACACAAGACAGTGGAAATGTTCCCATTCGGCCTGCAGAGGACTTGACTTCTGACGTGCTAATCATTTGTTTCTATCCAGAAAGTAAAATTTTCACAATATATTTTGTCTCTTAATGTTTCATTACTTTTGCTGCACAAACATTGCAGTTCAATTAAAATTTAATTTGTTCATTTCACTGTGGTTGAAATGTATACCGAAAAACATAGACAGAAAATCTCATATTGAAAGAAAAATTAGAAATCTAGATAGAATTATTTTGTTTTATAAATACTTACTGTTAAAATGTGGATTTTTTGAAGTCTTCAAAGTATCCTTTTAAAAATAAAATTAAATGCAGTGTCCAGTTTGCTTTCTATTATATGATCCTGTATTATTATATAACATTATATCACCAGGGTACTGGATTTTACATTGTATAAAAGGACAAGACGAACAAAACTAGCTAAATTAATTTTTTCTTGATTTTTTTTTTTATTAAGCTATTCTTTAAGAAAATAACTTACGGATATTCCCTGATATGACAGTTTTTATGTTAGTAATTTCTTTAATTGATACTAACTCTTATACAGTATTTCTACCATTTGTCTATGTGATTAGCCAGTACATTCAGGACCAGTAGTTAATACTTTTTCACTTGATTTTGCATGCCTAATTTTCTAGAATTCACTTTGTCCTAAAATATATATTTACTTGTTTTGAATGTATATGTGGTAGATTTTGCTTAATATTAACCTGACAGGATGAATTCACATGGACTTCACTTAGATTTTTATTGCTACTTGTCACTTCTTTAGTTTATTTTAGTGGGTTCCCAGTTATCCCCTGAACTATTGCTAATAGAAATCTCTGCTTCGCTCAAGGATCAATATCAGCTTTTTCTGCCCTACTCCCCAAACTGTTAAGTCTTCCTCAAAGGGAAACCAGCATGGCCTCTGTTTTCTGCTTTCTGCTTTCTTAACACCTGTCTCTGAACCACCACTACTCCTACCCTGTCCTCCAGTCTTAGAAAGCTTTATTATCTCAAAACTGTATTTTCAGGTTTTTTTCTCTGTTCTCTCAAATGCTTTGCTGATCCTGCAGTAACCTCTTTTTCCTACACGTCAGTCCTTTCCTTTCAGACTTTCTTTCATTTTTCTGACATGCAAAGATAAAAATTATCTTGAAAAGCATTTATTTTTCTCTTTTTACCCATTAGTTTTCCACTTCGGACTAAAATATTTTTCAGGTGAGTGAACTATAGTCAGTTTCCTTACCTTGAGCTCATTCCTTAAGTTTCTGATTAAAATATTTTTTCTCCTACTCTATGGAAAGAGAATTATTGCAAGTCACTACTTGTATTTCTCCCAGTCACCAAATCCAGTTTCTTCTTTTTTTCCCATTTGAGTCTCCTTGAGCTATCTGACAAAAAAAAAAGGGATATTAATCGTATTTATTTTGCTAGGCATTTTAATATCTTCACTATTGCTTTTTAAGATTTTTGCTTATTAGGAAACTGAGGCTCAGAAAATTTGAGCAAATTGTTTATATTCACATCATCAATGAATGACAGAGCCATGGTTTTTGGTCCCTCTGAAAAGTATGCTCTTTTGAACTCTACTATATAAGTATATGAATCATCCTTTTCTTCTTTAACTCTCAAAGACTCCTGGCCTCTGGGACATGATTCTTCTGTTTGCCATCGTCACTGCTGCTGACCCTTCTTATTTAAGATGCTTACTTTATATTTACAACACACTTTTTTTCTATACCCAGCTTGCTGCCAACTTTCTGCCATGCCTTTGTGGTTAATCATCACCTCAGATTCATTCTAAGACCAAACTTAGCACTGTTTCCTCCAAATTAGCATTTTCTATAACTTGGATTTTTTTCTCCTATCAGGCATTTTTTTTTTTTTGGTCAGTCATCTCTTTTTATTAAGGTAGAAACGTGAATTATTGTTCCCGTTCATTATCTTTTGGCCTGACAGCTAACATGTTCAGCAAGTATGTTCTCTTTTCATTCATATAGTGTATGGAATTTTAATATGTTTTTTAAAATCTGATATTTTATTTTTCTGTTTTTCCATGTGTATACCTGAACAATTGTAGTAGCCTACTAACTTCTGTTATTTCTCTCTATACCATAATAATCCCTTCTTACTCAGAGGGGATATATTCCAAGACCCCCAGTGGATGCCTGAAACTGGATATTGCTGAAGCTATGTATACTAAAATTTCTTCCTACACCAAAATACTTAAGATAAAGTTTAATTTCCAAATTAGGCACAGTAAGATATTGGCAACAATCATAAAATAGAGCAATCATAAAAATGTTTTATAACACAAGATATATAAATGTATGCTCAAAATATCTTACTGTAATTTCACCTTACCATGTAGAGGAAGTACTTTATGGTTTCCCTTCAGCAAATCTGAATTGCTTGGATTACTATTCTTATGCTTTGGAGCCATTCTAGAGTAAAGAACACCCCACAATTAGATCTCCTAACCAAGATGGATACGAAGTGACTGACTGGTTGTATACATTGAGGACACATATCAGGTATGATGGAGGTAGACAGTAGATTTTATCATGCTACTCAGAATGGTGCACAATTTAATACACAGGCATTATTTCTGGAATTTTTTCATGTAGCATTTTTAGATCACAATTGAATGTGCATAACTGAAAGGGCAGAAAGCAAAACCATGAATAAGGGAAAAATATTTATTGTACTGTCAAATTGACACTGCAGGCTACTGCTTCATCATTTTAAAAAGCCCTACAAAGGCTTGCAGCTGCATATGGACAGAGAATAAAAATCTTACCTTAAAATTCAATACAACTTCTACTACAGGATGGTTCCAGACTTATTCTCAAACCAGAGGTCTCTCCCTTTTTCCCAAAAATTACCAGAGTTTTTATTTTATATTACTTTTACTTACATAATTCAATATTAACTGAAATGTTCTTTTTTTTAAAAAAAGTTACTTACTCTGAATTGTCTAAACTCCTCTCGTTTTTTCAAACTTTATCCAAAAATCTCATAGCGATTTTTCCTTGCATTGAACTATTAAAACATTTATTTTCATACTCATTCATTTAGGCCATATTCAACTACCATGTTTAATTGGTTTGTCATGTGTATATTCTAGTTATTTCTGGAACTGTCTGATCACCACAGATAAACTTTAAAATTTTTTAAGGAAAAATTATCTTATACAACTGTCAGTTATTGAGTATGTGACATATACTACCTGTGTTTAATATATTTTAATGAAAATGTAGAACTTTTAATTGGTTTTTATTTTTAAAACACACACATATACTTTTCAAAGAAAAATGAGGCCAAATAGCTATTTTCATACCAGGACTATTTTGGTGTTTTTTTGTTTATTTTGTTTTTTGGTACCAGAGATCAAACTTGGGACCTTATGCACTATTTTGGTGGAGTTTTTTGTTTGTTTATTTGGTTGGTTGGTTGTTGGTACCAGAGATCGAACTCAGGACCTTGTACTTGTGAGGCAGGCAATGGAACCACTGAGCTAAATCCCTGACCCAAGACTATTTTTTTAAGAGCATCTATTTTATCCAATAGTTATATGTCAGCTAATGAGAGCTTATCATTATGTTATGGAGCCCACCCACCATAGGACTGACACCATGATGATTTATCTCACAATTATCTGACAAGACTATCTTGGGATTCTCCCTACATGTGAAAAAGAAACTATGATGTGACTGCAACAATTTAAATTATTCTTAAAGTTGAACAGGATAGAATTTACTTAAAGGAATTAAAATGTATATAAACAAATTAAATAGTAAGTTTTAAGCTTAAGTTTATTTTGGAAATGTAATAAAATAAATGACAAACTATTGACTTGAATAACTCAGCTATATTTGCAAGCATGGCTTTTCTTATATAGCACTGACTTGCCTGCCTGTTTCTGATAGTCACTGATTACCCTGCTACACACATCTATGACAGATCCTAACCTGCAGTCCTTTGACAGGCTTCAGGCATTTAATTTCTATTTTTAAAATGCTTATACAAAATAAAGTAAAATATTTAAATACTGCATACATACATTATGATAGGAAGGAGTTTCACAGAGCTTTCATCATACTCAAAGGGGTCCAAGGCCCAAAAAATAACTTAAGATCTTCACCAATACTATATACAATGTCTGTTCCTGTTTTCTCCCATCCAAGTATTGACCAGGCCTGACCCTTCTTAGCTTCTGAGATATGATGAGATCAGGCTCATTCAGGGTAGTATGGCTGTAGACTGTTCCTGTTTTCATAAGACACACAGTCTTTTGGATCTTTTCTTTTTTAAATATTGCCTTCTTTTATAAATATTTTCTTCTTTAATACCACTACATCCCTCAACTTCTTATATAACATGAATTTTACACCATTTAACAAAATCCCAATAGGTACTGGTTCCTTTATCCAGATAACTTCTAGTTTGTCAATATGCCTCATAAAATATGATTTTCAAAATTAGATACTTACATAGTGGATCATGAAATTGTGTGTACTATATCAAGCTGCAGTTTTCCTTCTACTGTAAAATATATTTATATTAATATAGATTAATATCAATCCTTATTTCCTTTGCCTGTGAGAAAACAAATAGATACACAAGTATACACAGACATGTACACACACAGCTGAGTGTTTATCTTGACTGATCATTATGTGCTCTGTGGCCTACAGATTGCTCTGTATCATTCTTCTAAATCTTTATTTAAAAACAAAATACTTAAACCATTTATTAAATAAACATGATTAGTCAACAGAACTGATGCTGCAGTATATTTTTGTATTTATTACATAAAAAGTAATTCAGGTGGTTGCCAGCTTGCTTATTAGAGTCAATTATGAAGCGGTTCCATGCTTTTTCCTACTTGTCATTCCTTTACCATTCCCTTTGATAGCCCTTCTAAAGTAATCTTTGTTAGAGAAATCTCAGACTTCCCTCACAAAAACATCAGGGTTGGCTTATTTTAGGATTGCTCCCAGTTTTGATTTCAAATTCTTTCTGGATGTGTTTATTCCTATATAGTATATTTGATTGATTTTAAAGAACTCAGTTAAGTTGGATATTTATGTTCTCAAAACATATTGCATAAAAAAGGGAATAGCCAACAGTATATTTTTACATGAAATGAATACAGAGATTACTTTAGAACTGAGTAGATACCAAATAATATTAAAATACCATGTGTCATTAAAGAATTATATCCCACTCACTGGATCACATTCATGGGTTTATTTTTCATAATATTGAAAAAGTAGATAGGATTAGTTTTATATCTCTTAAGTGGTGATTTAGGTATGAATAAAGAATCGATTAAATATTATTTTGCTTACATTTCTTTGTCTTTTTTAGTTACTTCAGTTAAAATTAAACAAAATAATTCTAAAATATTATTCTTTTACACTGAGAAATTTTGGAAACAAAACTGAATCAACTCTTGCTAAGCAGATCAATTAAATATACAGTCAACTCTCGATTATTCAAACTAATGGAGGAAAGGATGGAACAAGCTTTACTATTTCTGTAGTGGTCCCTCCCAATCTGAGACAATCTCTCAGCCTCATTCCAAACCAAGTTTTTGGCTTTCTCTCTTGATAATATTACATTTTCTAACCCTTGTACTCAGGATCCAGTGACATGTAGCTTACAATTGAGTTGATAGGAAAGTGTCACTCAGGCTTTTATATACATTTTTTAAGTCAGTGCCTTGCTAAATTGCCTTTGTACTATGAAAATTCACATGAAAAGTTAGCATTGCTATTAAGATATTTTTCTTATGCCTCGCAAAATTAGCTTTATGTAAAAGTCTTATCTTTGAATTGTAATTTATAATTTTAACTTTTTAAAATGGTTACATCATTGTACCAAATTTCTATTTAAATTTTTTAGTATAAACATTTTATGAGAAATTTTTTCTTTTGAGTCTTTTATAGAAATTCTTCCAAACTTTTGAATTCTAATATGTGAAGTATTTCTGAGTACTATGTGTTTGTAAATGCTGAAAAGGTGAAGGAATTTATGTGTGAAAACAGTGTGTTGTGTGTATACAATACGTCATTTTCTCTATCAATTAACTGCACACTTTGTGTAGTGTCCAGACATAAGTATTCATGGGAATTCATGTATCTGGATAACTGCAAGTTGAAATAAATACACCTGCCTTTTATTTCAATCACTGCACATTCAAATCCACCCAAAATATTCGTTTAAATATGACCTCCTTAAATGTGGGATAGCACTGGTTTCAGCATTTGACATTTTTGTTGATGTTTTGTTGGTGTTGATTTAAATCTTAAGTAGATACAAACTGGGTAATGCTTCTCTGGAAAATTTTGCATGCAGAGAAAAGGAAATTCAAAGATAAATCCTATGAAGAACAATGAAACTATTTTGTCTTATTAGGTTTTGCTTTGGTGTATATTGTAGCTAGATCCTTGTAAAATGTAATAATGCCTAAAGCCAAAGTAGTAAAGCCCATGAACCAGCCTTGAGTTTGGCCTACTTTAATTAGTTTTCTTTTCAGAATAAAATTATTAATCTTTCATTTGGAGAATATTATTTTTTCTCACAAATATGCATCTGAGCTTTAAGAAATCATATTTCCTCTAAGCAAGGGAAGTGTTTGTTACAAGGCTTATTTTATAATCTATATTGTGGTTTCGTCCACATCTTCTCCCAAAGTAGGCCATATTTATGCATAGTTAGTGTTACCTGACATGAGCTAGAAAATTAAATTATATCTTTAGAAATCTTAACTTTGAATTTCCTACTTTTCATTGCATGTAAACTGTCAACCATAAATAATAGTTTCAGTTCAGGTTCTAGCTTGTATTTTGCATGATAAAGCTAAAAAAAAAGTCTAGTGATGAAAAGAATTTATAGCTGTGGTTCTGCTATTGCTTAATTGTTACAATTTATAAATAAAGGTTGATTTTATTTACATAGACTTGTCTTTCTACCTCAGGGAGTAAACTACTTCATGTCCAAGGGTATCCTAGATGATTCGCCAAAGGAAATAGCAAAGTTTATCTTCTGTACAAGAACGCTAAATTGGAAAAAACTGAGAATCTATCTTGATGAAAGGTAAAAAAAAACAAAAAACTTAAATTTTCATCATAAATTAGTTAAATGATTCTTTTGAATAATTAAATTTTATTTTTAAAACTATTCTACATAGCACTCATCTAATTGAAAAGTTGAATAACCAGAGAAAAAAGTTAGTTATCTTCTATATTATTTTGTGAGTTTTTACTTGATAATGACAGTTACAGTTATAAAATAAAGAAAGTCCATAAGCATACATAAATGGTAGCCCAGCATCTTTGTAATGGTAACAAAAGTCAAATATTTTTGTGGAAACAGAAGCCCTGAATAACTAAACATAATCTAAGTAACTAGAAGTTCTAGATTCTGAAATTGTATAAATAAAAGCCTTTTATAAGGACATTATAAGCATAAACCCATGAAACTTAGAGGTGTAAGGATGTATATATATTTGTGTAGCAATACTACACAGAAGTATTATGTAAATGTTTAAAAATTCTGAAAATGTTACAGTAGTATATTTTACACAGAGGTGATGTGGTTAGTCTGCTATTCTCATTTCATAATCCTTCACTTGTATGCCTTTAGTCCAGTTATTAATGAATATAAACTACTGGAACATGATGCAATACAACATTGAAAAACTTAGACTTTAAAAATTTAAAAACATTTCATTTTAAAACTGCCTCACAAGTGCAAGGTCCGAAGTTTGATCCCTAGTACCAAAAGCAAAACACAACAACAACAACAAAATGAAACTTTATCTAATACTAATGTATGGCTCAAAAATGTGCTTGCCTTACATTGGGGATTCTCAATCCTTTTAGTTTTCTTACTTTTCAGTACCAATATGTAAATGTTCATTGTACTCCAGAAACTGCTAGACAGTATGGGTGCACACATGACTAAGGTATAGTCCTTGTTTTGAAGAGTTTACAGTGCAGCGTGCTGGTCATTGAAAGCAGTCCTTTGTGTGAAGATGTCATTAACACTTTTACTCCTTAATACTAGGTACCTAGAGATTGTGAGGGTTGGTTTTGGTTTGGAAAGAACCAGATCTTTCCATAATTAGTTTAGGCATTGTTGACTTTGTGATTGTTGTTGAAGCTACTTAAAACTTTCTGATTGTATTGTAAAAGCAGACCCAGATAGTTTATAAGCATATAAATGTGACTGTGTTCTAATAAAAGTATTTACAAAAATAGGCAGCAAGCCACATTGCAGGAGACCAGCTTGAAACTGTACTGATCAGGATTTAGTTATTGGTTATTTAGCTAAATAATAAATATTTGTGTATATTTACAAATATTTATACAGTTATAAATAACCTAATTATATATAAATAAGGTCATTTCCTTGTAAGGTAGAATATGTGGAGCCATTAAAAAGCATGTGATAGTTCATTGTGATGGTGTATACCTATAATTGCTTTACTCAGGGATGCTGAAGCAGGAGCATAATGTTTTCAAAGCCAGCCTTGGCAACATAGCAAGACCTTGTCTCACAAACAAACAAACAAATGTATACAATAAGCTATGTGAAAAAGCCAAGCCAAATTCTAAAACAGTATCTATCTATCTATCTATATATATATGTATGTATATATATATGTATGTATATATATGTATGTATATATATTGTTTTTGTTTTATATATATTTGTTACATATATATATATGTATATATATATATACACATATATATATTTAAGCATTTTTTAAAATCTTCATAGTTGTTACCTCTAGAAATGTGGTTTGATGTGGTAGATGGGGTGTCCTAACTTTCATAATTTGAAAAGTAAAGAGTTATCGTGCTAAAAAAGAAAGAATTCTACTGCTTTTAGACTTAGCCTGGAAAACACTTGAAAAATTTTTATTACTGAAAAACTTTATTCTGTAAGTAGAATTCATCATTGCACTTTGCTTTGTTTTATTGTGACCTATTCATGAAAGAGTTCAAACTGTTTTTTTAAAATACTTGTTTTTAAATTTAAGAATATATACTTTCATAGGATTATCTAACCTGATAACAATCAAACATTTTTATCTAAAATATGAGAAATTACGATTTTTATTCTTTTTAATAACTAATGCTGTAATCTTTTCTGTTTCTATAGGAGAGATGTCTTGGATGATCTTGTAACCTTGCATAATTTTAGAAATCAGTTCTTACCAAATGCACTGAGAGAATTTTTTCGTCATATCCATGCCCCTGAAGAGCGTGGAGAATATCTTGAAACTCTTATAACAAAGTTCTCACATAGGTTCTGTGCTTGTAATCCTGATTTAATGCGAGAACTTGGCCTTAGTCCTGGTAAGTATTCATGTATGTATGTATGTATGTATGTATGTATGATATATGTGTGTGTTTATATATATTTTTTAACATTATTTCCTACCCCATCTCCTGGCATTTCCATGTAAAAATAAGTCTTCTGTGAGAAATATTTCTCTCTGTGGATAAAAATGTTTCTACTAATTAAAAATACTTCTTTTACTGTGGTAACAACTACAGTTAGGAAATACTTCATTTATGTGAACTTAGACCTTTATTTAGTCACAACTCTAATTTATACATAATAAACATTTATAAAGTTGAACATATCTATGTAAATTTTTAACATTATTCTTATTTGTGTGCTAATTAGTTTTACTTGTCTAATTGAAAAGTTGAGCAGTTACGTTTAAAAATCCACATATTTCATAGCAAAAATGTGCTTTTGCTAAAATTTTTTATTACTGAAGAATTTTCCAAGACACAAGACTGTCAGTGCTAAATTAGAAAAAGTTTAGGCAAATTGAAATAAGTTGGTCATCCTATGTTTAGTTATAAACTAATCTTGATATCTTAAAATTATGAACATTTTCAACTGATGTAAACACCTGTGGGATATTTCTTAAAGTAGGTCATAATTTCAAGTGTTTCTTTTTCTTTCCAGATGCTGTCTATGTACTGTGCTATTCTTTGATTCTACTTTCCATTGACCTCACTAGCCCTCATGTGAAGAATAAAATGTCAAAAAGAGAATTTATTCGAAATACCCGTCGTGCTGCTCAAAACATTAGTGAAGATTTTGTAGGGCACCTTTATGACAACATCTACCTTATTGGCCATGTGGCTGCATAAAAGCACAATTGCTAGGACTTCAACTTTTTACTTCAGACTACAGCTATCCAAGGACTTATTAACAGATGTGGGGTTACATCCGTGTTGGTCATTCTAGCCTCTGTATACAATCAAGCTTGAGTATACAACTTCTTTTTCTTTCACTGTTTTCTTTTTTAGTAATTTCCTGGGGAAATAATTTTGCAGGACTTTTCTCAATTTTGCTTATTATGTTTTGCACAAAGCTGAGCCATTATCTGACCCAGCTGTTAAGAATGTTAAACTGACATACATTATACTCTGTAAGATGGTGTATTTGTGCATTAGATTTGCCTGAAAAACTTTATCCATTTCCATTTTTTAAAAATACAATGGATTGTGTACATATTTAACTAAAGAGATTTATAATCATAATTATTTTATTGTAAAGATTTTAACTAAAGTGTTTCCTTTTCTCTCAAACTGAGTTCTGAAATTTATTTGATTCAAATCAAAGAATATTGTTGTCTGTAAAAGTTGAAACTGACTTCAGATAGAAACCAATACCAGCTTTCCTTTTCTTTGAACTTTGAGAATAGTGTTTGTTACTATATTGATATGCAAAACCAGCACTTATTTGTATAATATAAATTTATCATTTGATTCTTCATTTTAAAAACTTTCAGGTTACTCAAGTCTTGATAAGTCATTTAGGTAATTTAGGATTTTTTAAAAGTTTATTACATTTTAAGATTTACACTTACAAAAACAGAATAAAATAGTATTAGAACTCTGGTAAATCTTTGCATGCTTATATCTGAATTAATTTGTCAAGTGACTTATTTTCCTAATCTTAATGATGTTCAGAATCCACTGAAGGGAATAGTGTAGATGATAACAATACACTCTTTATTCATTCATTCATTACATCTCTATTGAGAGCCTTCCATGTACTACGTATACCCTGTGCTGGGTACTGGTGATAACCAGAATCCTGATTTTCTTCCAAATCTGACCCTAAGTCAACAGGGGTTGTTAATTATACAACTGTGAAGGTACACTACATATTTTTCAATGACAAAACCTAAGATAATTGAATATATTTTTAATAGGACAGGGTTGTTTTAACTGGTAGGAAATTTCTAGATTCTGAAGCAGATACCTAAGTAATTTCCACATATGCCTAATTTTGAATTTCATAACAAAATAATTATAATTTTTGTGTATGTGTGGCAGAATCTCACTCTGTAGTTTAAGCTGGGCTTGAACTCACTATGTAGTCCAGGCTGACCTTGAATTCATGATGATCCTCCTGCCTCAGCTTCCCAAATGCTGGGATTACAGGTATATACCACCACACCTGGCAAAGTAATTACAATTTTTAACCTTCAGACAAATTAATTTTCCAAAGATTAAAAAAATACCAATAATATTATTTTGAAGCTGGCAGTTAACTTAGTTCAACTCCCAGTCGCAAACTCTGGCTGGCCTGCAGTTGGTGTCAGCTCAAATTTCAGTTCCATTCTTTGACCAGGCTGCTTCGCTTGGAGTCTTCTGTGCTTGCACCCTTCAGAGAGACCAGCCAGAATTTTGGGCAAAGTTCATGCACAGGACTTGCATCTTTCTCACTGGTTCATTACTCAGGATTTCCCTCTGCATATTTTTGATAGCTGTCATTATGCCAAACTCTATCCTGCAATTCTTCACAGGCTCCACATGATTCAAACTAGAATCTATAAAAATGGGAAGCTCATCCGATGCTATCTTCTTCTAAGCAGCCTCTCGTCTTTTGGATCAACCTGCTTTGGGTTGTTTTCCACCACTTTTTTTTTTTTTGGTTGATTTTTATATTTTGTCCAGTTTGTAGTTTCATCATCTCTTGGATAAATGGTCTGAAAGAGCTAGACCCTCTCCAACTCCTTTTTAAGATTATTGAATAGAGATTTATTCCTGGTTATTTTTAAAACTAGAAGAGTAGAAGTGTTTAACATGTTCTATCAAAAATTACAATAATAAACATATTAACAATAAGAAGAATTTAGCAAATAAGAATTTAGTGTTTCCCAGTGGTAACTTTGGGGGAAAGCTATTCTTCATTACTGGAAGAATTAATGTGCTATATGTAGTGTCCCGTATAATATAGGGTATAAGAAAGCCCGATTTTGCCTCCTATGTACTAGTAGCATCTCCTATGCACAAATAATGGCCCCACATATTTCCAGGTGTCTGCTGGGGAGTCAGATCACCTGAAGTCTGGAAATACTATATCTCTCAGATTTCATAACTGTACCTTTCTACAATTTAAATCCGATGACACTTCACTGTCTCCTTTTGCTTTACAAAATTAGCCTGGCATATACAACCTTTCCAAATCTAGCCTCAGCTTATCTTTAAAGCTTCAACAATATTCAACTGTGATCTGTTCTTTGCCTTTTATAAGCTTTTTTCCCTGATACTGCTTTTTCTTGTTTCTAAATTTCCCCTACTCGCCTGAGATCCACCTCAAATGTCTTTATCAAAGCTTTCAGAATGTATCAAGCATGCCACTCGTGTTCATTACTTCTTTCTCTGTAAACTGTGCCACTTTGTACATATCTTCTTGCAATATTTATAATTTTAGAGAAGTCCAAGCTTCTCATCAGATGTGACCTTGTTAATGTCAGACTGCACCCAGCCTGTCAGGATCTAGTTTTAGGCCTGACCTAGGGAAATGGCAGAGGGTATAGAGACAAGGACTGATTTTCAAATCCCAAATATTGATAGCACTGCGGATTTGGGAAAAGTTTTCTACTGTGGTGTGGTGGTCCAGCTGTCACAACACGAACATGCCTGAGTTGGGGAGTGGGGATTGAGAAAGGAAAGAACACTCAAGCCTGAGTGGAGACCAAGAGAAGTCTGATTTATTTCACAGAAACAGATCCTTTTTATAGGTTCACATCCACAGGAAGCACCAAGCAACTATTTGTATCTTTTATGCAAAGACCGGATTTTCTGACTGTTTACAAAGAACATCAGCTCTGTGGCTGTCTCTTTGAGTTTTTCCCATTGCAGCAACAAGTTTAACAAGCAGAGTCCTAGAATGTTACACAGATTGTATCAGTGCCTTGAGTGTAGAGGTGAAGAAGTTTCCTTTTGAATGTCAAACGCCTAGAGGGCCATGGCCCGGCTCCCACACTATGGGCAATTGATAGTCCTATTATCAAAGGTAGGTACCAGGAGATCAACAGGTCGGGGTGGTGTGAAAAAAATAAAGATCCCAATTTTAGCATATTTTGAATTTCAAGATATTAGAGTTTTCATATTTTTTCTTTTTTTATGTATTTTTAGTATATGTTTGCAATGCATAATGATTACATTTATTAAGGGGGTTGAATGTGTATGTAACACATCTTCTTTTTTTGTCCCTTCCTATCCCTCCTTGCTCCCTCAATTCTTGATCCCCTACTCACTGACTACAGTTGGAGAATAGGACTAGAGACAGAACTTCATGGAGCTGAATATACAAGCTGGTTACAAGGAAACAACCCTAGGGAGAATGTAGAGTAAAAAGAAACAAGGAGAACCAAGACCTGTCATGTAGAGGTACAAGATCCCAACAATGAATGTAACTGTACTGTATTCCTAAAATGTACCAATAAACTCAATTAAGGCTGAAAAAAAAAAAAGAAATAGTTGGGAAGCACAGCGTTTTAGATTTCAGTAGGGAAAATGGAATCAGAAGAGGATTCACCAGAACTTTGGAATGACCAGAGAATAATGGCATCCACAAGATAAAGCAGGAAAGTGTTAGAAAGGATGCCCAGGGCTGGGAGTATGGCTCTGTGGAGCAGCCCTTGCCTGGCAGGCAAAAGATGCTGAGCTTTACGTTAACTACAGCCCGAGTAAGCTTTTCCCATCTATATTCAGCCTCCTTGAGTCAATTTTTTTTTTTACCCAAGGCTGAGTTCTTTGAGGCTAGAAAATCACAGTATTGCTAATGGCTTTTATATCGTCACTAGACAAATATTCTCTCATTCAATGTGCAATCTAAGCTCTGCTGAACCCCGCAAGGGTGCTTAAGCCTGCCTACACCTTCCCCGATAAGGGCTATGTTGTTTCAAGTCCAGAATGTCCTCAACTGTGTACCTGTAGTGTACATTCCTGTAGAATCACTGAGTAGGGTTGGTTAAGATACAAATCATATTTTAAAAAAGAAGAAAGAAAGGAAAGGAGGGAAGGAAGAAAAAAAAGAAAAGACAGAAAAGTGAAAAAGGAAGGGAAAGAGTGAGAAGGGTTCAAGAATAGGAAGAAAGGAAAATGGAGAAGAAAAGGATGAAAAAGGAGGAAAGAAGAAAGGAAGGAAAGAAAAGGGGAAGCAAAAAGAAAATGCTTAAAAGCAGAGGTTCCCCCAAATTTGCCATCCAATTGTTTTTAGTACATTTTGTTGAAACTTACACCATCTGATCTTAATGAATCATCTGTGTTTATTCTTTTAACCTGTTTTCTCTTCTGAAAATCTCTGAACTCGTTCCTCATATTTACCTGAAATGATGTTTGTTCTCCGATTCTGTTCCTTCTAGGACACCTTTATCAAGTCTTGTAGATGGAAGTTTAATTCTTCTGTCTTCCTCAGTACATAACATAGGCCACTGGCTCAGTGCAGTTTCTTAAATTCCCAAAAATGAATAAATTTGATATTTTGCTATAATAGAAGAATTATTTGGCTCTGGTTCAGATTCTATATAAGCATTTAGAAATGTTACCACCACTGCAGTTTGTCAGGGCAACAACCTGGCTTTACTACTTCCACTTGTGCAACATACACCCAAAAACATTACATGTCCACGATTTGCAAATCGGATTATATTAACTTTTTAAAATATTGACAGGTTCGACATGTGTACTATTCTAGACATAAATTCATCTTTCCAGAACTACTAATTTTAAATACCTGGATGAATCACTGCTACTTTAAGTTTGTCTACTATTTTTAACTTCAAGAATAGGTAGTTTGTCTCATCAGTTGTTAATTGTTTTAAATTTTAGCAATATTATGAATATCATTGATTGCAGTGTTCAATGACAGCTTATTCAGAAGCCCTGTTTAAAATAACAATATTTTCATTCTAATTTGAATATTTTCCAGTGCCTGAGAGAACTTTTTCTTAAATATTGCTATTAATAAAACTTCCCATTATTAACAACTGCATGCTCTTTCCAAGCCTTCATAAGTGAATATATTCCAAAATGCCATCATAAGGGAATAATCTGGTACAAGAAAAGGCAGTAGGCACAACTTTTATCACATCATTAAAACAAAAAATGGAAACACCTGAAGTGCCTCCACCTTAGGGAAAGCTCTAAAATCCATTACATACTGTATTTATGTGTGGACTCTGTACCAGATGCTACACTAGAACTGGTCAGAAAGACCAAATACGTGCTCATGA